TTTCAGCTACGTACTATATTCGTCCTTATTAGGACTCATTTTCCATTGCCAACGAAAGCTCAGACCAATCAGTGTAGTTCAACGCCGGTAGGGGTATTTGCCCTCGGAGTAATTGTTTCTGACTGGTCAACGAAGTTCAATTTTGCTTGGACAGGGAGCTTCAGCCTATGTCCTTCTGATGAGTCCTAACAAGGACGAAACGCGTCAAGGATTGGCACGGGAAGCCTGAGTCCACTGCTCAGTGGGCCGATTCCCAAACAGGGACCGTAGTGTCCCTGTACTCACGTTGGTCATTACCTGAAAAAAGAAAAAATCTTTCTAACAATTTCCATTGCCAACGAAAGCTCAGACCAATCAGTGTAGTTCAACGCCGGTAGGGGTATTTGCCCTCGGAGTAGTTGTTTCTGACTGGTCAACGAAGTTCAATTTTGCTTGGACAGGGAGCTTCAGCCTATGTCCTTCTGATGAGTCCTAACAAGGACGAAACGCGTCAAGGATTGGCACGGGAAGCCTGAGTCCACTGCTCAGTGGGCCGATTCCCGAACAGGGACCGTAGTGTCCCTGTACTCACGTTGGTCATTACCTGAAAAAAGAAAAAATCTTTCTAACAAGAAATATCTGTCTTTCAATTTTAGGAAAGAACAACTTTTAAAAAAAGATAAAGTGAGTATTATTTATTGAACAAATCTTGTCAAATTTACCATGTCGGCTTTTTTTGCAAACTTATTTAGTTTAAATATTTTAAAAATAAAATCAGCAAAAATTTCTGATAAGTAGACTATTTTGATGTGTGTATTTCACCATACACTATTTCCCACTGGGCGTGAGCTTTAAAAACTATTTTTATTTGAAATTTCCAAATCTCAAACGACTCACTATCAGTAATTTGTCGATTACTACAAAATAATTTTTTTCGGATTACGTCATTTTGTTTCTGGTTAGCCAACACACAGGACTTTTTACTTTTCACACGGTTTTTAGAGTTTTTAATTTTTCACTAGCATTTTTTACTTTTTTCACTATGCCATGGGCTAGTATCGATCTGGGCCCATACCTGATGAGATTTATTAATTTTATTTTATGTTATTTTAGATTTTAGCTTTTTTAGGGAGGGGTTTTAGTTTTTTTAATAAAACAACACGTCTTTGACTCTACATAACCTTCTATTCATCAATCATCACAAAAACGACAATCAACAACTGTCAAGTTATATACTTTTAGCCTACATCCTACACCGCCACCTAACAATAATTCATATAAATTTGGACATAACAAAACAGTATCCATCAAAATAAAGATAAATTCTATTTATCCTCCACAGAGGGCCTAACTTAAAAATTTCTCAATTAGATTATTATTTTCTTTAACACTCGATATGTTTCATGATGACCATCAACACATGATTTCATGATTAACTTGATTTCAGCGTTTGGCTGTCGTTTATTCATCATATAAAATTTCTGTACCTTCTCTAATTTTCGGAAAAAACATAATAGAATGTTCTAGTGGACTTGTTATTTCGATGCCAAAACTAGAAGGTACCTAACACTTTCGCTACTCTTGACGTATATTATGTTCGTCAATCATCATGTAATAGACTACTACTACTACAGTACGCATATAAATACGCAAAGCTCAATAAATAGGTATAGTTCACTGTAACCGAAAAAATATCATCTGGTTGTCATCGATTGTGTTTGGTTGTGTGCAGGAGACAGAGCTTCGCGCAATGTGAACGAAAGACTATAATTAGTTTCTTGCGCTATTATTTTCACAAAATGTTTACTAAGTTTATTATATTGACTACGAATAAGTATAATGGTAGGTATATATGTCTCGCTGAAATAATTTTCTTTCTCAGTGATGACGCGAAATGAGATCGAGGTAGCGAAAGGGCTAATGAAGTCATTATTCTCCCAAACGGTTTCCAAATAGAGCAAATGTTCTGGATTTTTTCCGAAAATTTGTTTTTCGGTATCACATCCAGTAATAAAGTCACTTTTTCAGTTCAGCAAAATTTCACTCATTGTTCCAACTAATTAGCTGAGATAAATCTACTTGCTTATCCTGCCTTTAGTCCAAACTAATGCACTAGCTCAAATTAACCATTGTCTCGCTAATTATCCTACTTCTGACACCTAATTGTCACGGATTCCGCGCGTCCATTGAAACTGTCTTTAGTAACAACAACTTTTAAGTATATTGACTTCACCAAATTCACTAATCAGTTATCGCATTAGCTTAACTTCATGATATGTTCTTCATACGATAATACAATTATTTAAACTGACCGACTGACATACAAACTAAGCGCTTTGTATACAAAACCATTCAATCGAGATATCTCTAGAATCACATAATGGAACAAATTCCTGAATATTCGGGCTCAGGTGTCGGCCTGTCCGCACCAATGCAATATTGTACCAATATGAGAATGAAGAAGCGAACATGCATTTGTTAGCTGAGGAAAAGCCTCATACCTTTTGCGAAAACGGATAAGTATCAGATTGAAGATTTTCGAAAAGATTTACAGCTTCAGAAAATGGTTGCTTTGTATGTATGTACATATACCTACCTACCCTTTTCCATGATTATTTCTACTCAGGTAGTTGGTTCAATTATCCCTTAGCTAGGATATTTTTAGGGTCTACATATTGGAAATGTACTCATAAATAAATTATGTAGGAGAATAAATATTGTTAATAAGACTTTTGATTCGTTGATTTTTTTTTAATGTGAGAGAACCAATACAAATTTGGCACTTCTTCATTATTATTCGGCAGCTGCTTAGGCTCGGAAGATAAGTGCTTCTCAATTTAGATAATAATTTTGGGCTTTCTCATTCGATATCTTGCTAACGTATGGGCCGCAATCCATAACCTATCCATTGGTGAATTGGTGTAGAGCTATTATATTTTTATATATTTCCAAAGAACTGTCATAGTTTTATTTGAACCTTGAACCCTCTATCCCATAATCCCAATCAATTTATAAATACTTGAAGTGACCCAGATATAATTATTCATCAAAAGCCTATGTATATTTACTTATCCCAAATGTAAGCACGTTTCTGCAATAGACATACATGAACCAAACGCTAGATTCAAAAATAGCCGGACTGTCGAAAACGACTATTTTTAGGAAAGCAAAGAGTTTATACGTTTATGCTTTTATTACCTTTCCTCCACTATTATTTTCAGCGTCGGTCGGTTTGTGTTAGTCTGTTAGTGTTCGTTCAGAATCAGATCATAGGATATGTTTGTAGAATAAATTGACTTTCAATGGTAATGTATTTGCACAATATTTTCTTTTTAATAATACTATACAGGGTGTTCGGCGGAGGGAGCCACACTTGGTGGGCGTATAGATAGGCCCATTTCAAAGATATTTTATTAATACACTTGTGCCCTTAACTAACTTTTTCTTTTAATTTAAAGAGTGTTAATTTTAGTGGCATGCAGACGCATAAATTAAAAGTTGATGAAAAATTTTCTTGTCTCGACTGGGATTTGAACCCAGGACCCCTACATTTCCAGTGTAATGCTCTACCAACTGAGCCACCGAGACCTGTCTCATTTCTACCCAGTCGATCAAGTCTTTCATCAATTTTTAAGTTGTTAGTTTGTGACCATCGGCAACCTTCGGCGGTTACCGTTGGTATGGGAGTGAGTTAGGAGGTATGTTTATGAAAATGTTTGTTTCGTCTGTTTTTGGTCTGTAGGGTATCACGAGGGGTATCCTTGATCTAATAAAGTAATAATTAGGCACAAATACTACCGAAATAATTAGTATTTTTATAAATATGTAAAAAAAAAGTTACAGGAGTCAAAAGGTCCATTTTTGAAAATTCTTCAAAATAATAGAAAAGCAATGATATAAAAAAAAACGGGGACCTTAAGGGCACAAGTGTATCAATAAAATATCTTCAAAATGGGCCGATCTATACGCCCACCAAGTTTCGCTAACCCTCCGCCAAACACCCTGTATAATGACAATACTCTCGATAACACACAATAATCAATCAAGTAACTATACCAATATACATAGGAGAAGGTATGCATACATAACACCTTTTCACCTACGCTTAAGATGATATTTTATAGTAACATATCTCTTCCCCTTGTACAAAATAATGTAAGAGAATTACCTTTTGGTAAGAAATAATGCCTCACATAATCGAAAGAAACTTATTTATTACTTTATGAAGTTATGAGTCTCAAAAAATGGACTAACAATCGTTTATTTAGTAGAATAATGGCAGTAAATAACCAATATTACTTCTGCAACTCGCAATTTTTCAGCCTTATGGGTTTGAGAAGGAATCTCAAATACAGTCATGGCTTTGATCCCTTATTGAGGGGAAAACCTAATTTCAAAGCCACCTATTAAAGTCAAATGTCAATAATGAAACGGATTCGCGGGACCATTACATTACAACTCTTTAAATAGCAGCAACTTTTATCAAAATGATTGACTCCACTAAATTCACTAATCACTAGTCGCTTTTACTTAATTTTATGCATTAATCCCCTTATTTGAACTGACTGACTGACTTACAAATTGCTTGCTTCAATCACAGAACAATTTAATCGTGAAATCTCTAGAGTTACCTAAATGCGTGTTTATGTGAATCACACAATGAAATCCCTGTTTATTCACACTGCCTCATTTTCAAATCAGATCGTCCCAATCCAACCATTTATTCTCATGACAACTCTCCAGGATGCACCTCTTCTACGTTTATGTGTTATCCATGATAATTTAATCTATCATTCTTCATCTCTCCACTACAAGCAGTACTATGCTTTATAGGAGTCCTTTGAACCATGCCTTTGGAAATAATTTTCTCTATATCCATGGTCTTCGTCATACTCGTAATCCTCTTCATCATTTCAACTATACTGATGCCTAACATCTCCATGCCTGGTTCTTGTTCCTATATAATGACGACACGGAAACTAGAAGAAAACTGGCAGCGCCTTGGCGGAAGGTCTCAGTCCCCTTATCGGAGATATCTTTAGACCGTCTGTTTGAAGGGTTAGAACAGGGTGGACCAAAAGTCTTTTCACTTTTCACACCACAAAGGTAAAAAAAAAACTAGATAAATAGGAGAAAAAAACTTTATTTTTTACGAAAGTACACAGATTGGGATTTTATTTTTTTTAATTACATATTCCATATGCGCAAATTTTCAATAACGGCTTCAGTTGAAATGTAAACGGACTTATCCTGTTTCATGAAAATGAAGAGTTGATAAGCAACGAGTGAAGAGTGAAGAGTTGAGGAGTGAAAAGTAAATGTCGTTTTTGTTTCAAAATAAATTTGCATCTACTCCTTATTTCTTCAAAACTTCCATAAAATGAAATGTAACATTATGTCGCTCCTCACTCCTCAACTCTTCAACTCTTCATTTTTATGAAATAGGCCCCGGGTCGCTACAGCGGAGTCGGACTCGCAGCACCAATGCAATTTCGTAACAGGAATAAGACAGACACAGCTTGATCTATTTTATAATGGGCTCTTTCACTAAAATTTAAATACGTAATTTAAGTATAAAATCCCAAAGGAGGGACTATTTTAGGCATATATACCAAAAAAAAAATTCTACAAGGTTAAATAAGTTTTTTACAGGCATTTGAAACTAGCGAAATTCAAAATCATTTAAAACGCGCCGATTCGCTGACGTCACATAAATATTTTCCATTTCGCTCATGTTGTTGCAAGAAGCTGACCGGCTCCGCTGTGTTGCGCGTTGCGCTCTGTAAAAGCACAGCAAGGTTCGAATGCGCTGTTGTCGGTTGTGACTGAATGTAGTGCAACGTAAAACTAAACATAAAAAATTGTAATAAATTGTGTTTAAGCATAATTTAAAAAAAATATATATTATAAAATCTTGAATCCATAACTAATTAATTGAACTACTTTTCATGATATTTTTCCAACATTTCAGAATTAAATCTATTACAAATTTTCAATGTTGACAATTAGTGGCAACACAGTCAAATTGCGAGCTGCGACGTCATAGAAATTAATTCTGGGTTTTTATTTGGAGGTATTTCTAATTTTTCTGTTTTCTCAAGAAGGACTATGAATTTTTCAAAAGTAAAAATACAGAAAATTCTGTTTTTAGTTGCTTTATCCAAATATGCCAATTTCAAAAATTAGTGGAAGAGCCCATTCAGGTTTTACTCGCTTCAATTTCTATTTATCTTCCAGATCTAAATATAAGTGAACTTCTGTGGATATTATGTGGTCCTAATATGGAATTGAAAAACGTTTTTAAAGGAATCAAAGGGAAAACACCTGGAAGGCATATGAAATGAATATCGAGACTTTAACAGAAGATGGTTACCTTTCCAGTCCGGCCAGTACACCAGATGCTTTTTTCGACGAGGAAAAGTGTCTGGTTAAACAAATTCTTCGCAAGCCTACCGAACCAGCCCAAGAAACTAAATGGCAGTTCCTAAAAAATATACCTATTGCTATATTAGCAGTTAGTATTTTTCAGGTAAAAGAACACCTAAATAGTTAAGTCTTCTAGTTCTATCTATCTTTGATTTGAAATGAAATTATTGCTCTAATAAGTAAACGCCAATGGTGACCAGTCGCTGATGACTCCGACTCTGTACCTGCAAGTGATTTGTTAAATATTTTTCGCATTATTTTCCTCTAAAATTAGGAATGGGCGTCGCTTCAAAATTATTGATACTTTCCAATAAAGATGAAAGTAGTAGAGCCATCCTTTCTTTGGCTACCTTAGAAATAACATCGTCGATTGGTTTGGTTATGTCGTACAAAGACGGCACGTTTAAAGTTATTACACCTGTGGACCTGTGCCTACTATACAATACAAGCCACTGTGAAAATCCAGAGGAAGAGTCTATCAAGACTCATTGCGACGTACTTCTAGTATTCTTCAACCTAAATAAAAAGTTTTTTTTCGAAAAACAAAACAAATTATACATTCAAAGAGCATACATTTGCAAAACTATCCTTATTTATTACATCTAAATGAAAGTTTAAAATCTAGTGACGCCTCAACACGCGTCAATTGATAGTTTTTAAAATTTTTAGGTGTTTTTTCATATATTATCAACCGCGGTTATCGAGAAATACCTAAGGTTTGAGCCCGGCAAACCCTTAGAGATATGGAGATACGCTACTTATATGTTTGTTCATGAAGATTGGTCTCATTTAGCTTTAAACGTCTTGATCCAATGTGGTTTCGCATCTTTATTAGAAGCTAATCAGGTAAGTGCAGATGTACCATATAGCATATATATCTTCTTCTGCAGTATTATCTGGTAATCAAAACAACTTTGTACTGACCGGCTCTTAAGCACCATTTTTCAATTTTTGACGTAACATTTCAAAAAGAATCAGTTTTGTCTGTAATCGGACGAGAAAACAAACTATTGACACGAATTGGGATGCCAAAATATATAGTAGAAACCTATCCAAGTTAGGAAAATTTAACCCAACCTTATAATGCTTATTTATATAGTTTAGTGGTAAAAACAAAGGCGCTTATTTTGAGGAAAAATAAAAGACAATATGTTAATGGTGTTCTTTTGTGTATTTTGTTCTTTTTGTGTAGTGTGTGGTGTACAAATTATCTTCAATCTTATTTATGTATTTGAGGTACATCCCTCAAGACCAACAGGCTCATGCTGCTCTTGATTTTTAGACATATACCTACTTTTTTGGATGAATTTTCATTTACGATTGAAATTGGATCGCGCTAGAAATCCGTTGTCTTTTATTCAAAAAAGACACCTCAATAACTCCATTGCATTTTTCATAAATTATAAATACCGACACACGTCCTGTCGTAAAAGTTGAATCGAAGGTCCTCATATCACCTTACAGGGCTCTACAGAAGTCAAGGGCTATAAGAATAGGCGTCAAAAGCCTTGTTGTTAGGGTCCGGTATCCCACAATATCTGATCGGTCTCCTACTTTTGATATCCGAGTCATGACAAAGTGGCATCTTTGGGGAATTTAAGATACAGGGTGATTCATTATCGATTATGAGAAATTATTATTATTTTTAAATTATAGGTTTTTTTACCGTAAAAGATGATGTTATTAATAATGTAGGTTTTCTCATAAGTAAATGATAACGACATATCTTGTATACAGGGTGTTTGGAAAAACTTATATATTTTCACGTATATTGAAAGTGAAGCCAAAATTAATATTATTTGAAAGTACTTCATTTTGTATACTTTGTAGGTAAAACAGGTACGCATGTAACACAACAAAAACATCCTTTATTATACAATCATCCTTTATTATACAGGGTGTTTCAACAAACACATTACTTCCGTAGAAGAAATGATGATTTTCAACACGCGTATCCTAAAACATTAAGCTATTTCTTATATGGGTAAAGTGGGATATGAAGGTTTACCAGTCGTGATCAAATTCAGAATCAGCTTCTTTATCGGAAACTGCTCGATTTTCATCCTCATCATCAGTAGCCGCTACAGCGGGGGTGAGTTCGTTGCAACAATGTTCGTTCCTGTGGGACATACAAAACATTGTGCAAGGCAATGTAGCACTTCTACACCCACATTTTTTTGTGCTACACGGATTGGTACTTGAACAGGAGCATCGAATCAGTTGTAATAATATCAGAAGGTGCCACCTCGACCTTTTCTGGTAAGGTGACTGGTAACAAACGCCCTTCGTTGGCATCTTTGAAATATCCGTAGTCCGTTGGTTGTAGGTTTGGAGGATTTGCTTTTAAAGCATTTTGACATATACAAGTCTGTAAGTATGCATCGTTTGTTGGCGGAAGCGAGCGTGAAAGGGGAAATTGTGACTTCCCGCATGCAGTTTTTTTCTGCCCAAAGTCGTACACGAGCTTCGGATGTGGAATCACAAGATGCTTTTCCATAACATGCTGTTATAAATTTAGCAGCCTGACTTGCGATGTCATCAATTTTTTTGTTTTCTTGGGCCATGTAAGACAAAAAGTATCCTTTTTTTTAGAATTTCAATAATTTTGGTTTTTCCTATTCCATAATACATTGCAGTAGTGTCACAACCGCTAATTGCATGAGCTGCCAAAACATCTGGTATTATGACCTGATGAGCTAAGAGCGACGATTTTATATCTATTACTACACGGTCAGCAACTACTGACTCCATGGAAACGTGATTGAAAATTTGAGTTAAATTACAGAAATACAATAGTAACAAAAAAAAAAGATCTGTATCGTCTGACATAACTATTATTTCAGCTTGTTTATTAGCTTCGGCTACACTAATTTCTTGTACAATTATTGTATCAGCTTCCTCGTGCGTCGTCTCTAGGTCGTTTCTTCGAAATACTTCATCATTATACAGTTCGTAAGGTTCACCTTCTTCACCAGTTATAGCTAATTTATGCTGAACATTATGTTTTATAATGTAGGCCTGGTCTTCTACAAAGCTGTAACAAATAAGATTTATCAGTTGTCTCTTGTTGTTGGCTTCAGTTAGTATGATCTTAAGCGGAGGTAGCAGCGTTAAATTAGATTACTGATAACTCCTGCTTGCGGTTTTACCTATTTCAGAGCGAGTGCAGTCTTTGGTACTGTATTCTGCATAACGGTCAATTACAAGGTGGATATTCCCGCGTTTTGAATGCCTTCCAACAACGCTTTTAATTTCATTAATATAGTCTTGTACAGATCCTTTTTCAGGCCAGTGAACGCACCACATTAGCGCAGAACCATCAATTATCATGGTTGTATCTGAGTTAACAGTCCTTCTGTCAGAAACTGTCACCTGCAAAGCTCTTTTATATTGGATTTGGACTTACATATCCTCATCTCACCTGAATCTCTAAACATAGATGTTGGGACAGGCGACAACTCATGTGATAACACTCGCTCAATATCTACCTCCCTTGAGCTTGCTTGCAAGCGTATTACTCTGGAATAAATAATGTCTGTATCAAACACCTTGACACCATTCAAGGTTACATGGTTTTTTTACTACTGACATGTTAACTGTAAGTTTGGACAAAGAAGCATGAAAACTTGATGGCCATGAAGCCTCAAAGGTTTTCATTTGATTTGTCCCAATTGAGACAGCATCGTATACAATGAAATTTGGTGGTAATATGTGACCTGAAACTATATTATTAAGTTGATCTGAATGGGAGCTTGGTTTCACGGGGTCATTAAAAAGTTTCAAATTACTTCTTATATGCTTCCTGTCTTTAGAATCCGCCGCGATTCTAGATGTCATTTCTTCCTTATGTGTGTTTTGAATTATGTCTTTGTCTTTTCCGCATAATTTTTCGATATCTGCTTCTATCTGACTACATATATGCAAACTAAGGGCCCATGTTTTTAAAGTTTCTGGTTTCAAAGTAATCCCAACAATCCCGCCTCTAGTGTGTCCGAACCTCATAAACGTAGTTTCAATAAACATGTCACTCCATATTCCATTCCACAGTCCTGAATTATGATGCATAACATGATTTCCCTTGAGAAAGTGTGTTAGTATTTCTTGTGGCAGTTTTCGCATCTCTCTAAGGTATACAAAGCCGTAACGTGCATAATTAAAATGTCCCGCAGCAAAAAAATACGGCATATCATTTGTTTAACTACTTCAATATGTAATGCCCACTCACCCCCTCTCCTCTCTTTCTCCTCTCTTTCTGCTCGTTATTACCAGGCTTAATCAAGCAATCAACCCAAAGTTTTGAAGTTTTACTTTTAAGAGATAACGTATCGAGTATAGAAATAAGATGATCGTAGTTCCCTATTGTGACTGATTCAAAAAGAAGTAGTTCTTCAACAACTAAGTGCAATGCCCTAACATTTTGAGGAAAATTTTTTGCCGGACAACATTTCTTTCACACCATCGAATACATTTTCCATTATCTCCTCGAGACCACTGTTCGCCATTAGTGTCCCTACAGATTCAACAAAACTCATGGGAAGGTGCATGCCGCCGAGACGTAGTACAACATTTTGAAACTTTTCTGGATAAACCCACATTACATGCAAAGCGGCCCTATACAGTTGCTGATCACAGGTGAATACAGTTATTCTCTGTCCAGCTTCTTCTGTCATAATTTGTGCTTGAACTAAAGCAGTCATCATGGGGATGAGCAGGACTCATGTCAATCAGAGGTTTATAAGCTGTTGAAGTTGCAGGCTTAAAGGGCTTATGACTATTACGGAACAATTTAGTATTATATCCATTAAATCTGGACATTTATCTTGAAAGAGAACATCATTAATAAAATCGAGGTCAGTTTCCTTAGCTTTCTGACTAGATAATATTTCACGGCATAAAACTGTTAATGGCAAAACTGATTTTTGACAAAATTTTATAGGCATTTTTGCCTTTGCAGGGCCATAGTATCTCACAATGATTACTGCCTTTTCCATTTTGTGATGAGATTTTTATGTCAAAATTATCAATAATAACCTGAGTTAAAGTAGTATCACTCTTTTTAGAAATTCCAGTCAAGTTTGAGTTTTTAACCACATCAGTGGCAGCCTTAAAAGAGCTCATCATAGGTACCTACTACAAGATATCTGAAATTGGTTTAATATTTTTACTAATTCTTTGGAAAAGCGAAATTTAACTCCAATCCCAACCTGAAGATATGTAAATGTGTTAAATAAGGTAGACGTCACAATACTTACGATCAATAAGGTTGATGGAGTTTTGTCAAGTTTGGGTGATAACTTTGCGCAAAGCTTTAACAAGGTCTTACTGCACAATATTGACACTGATTCGTCGCTTATACGTACACTATATTTTTCTTTATTTTTTTTTTACTGCACCAACCTCAAGTTTAATTTGTTTAGCAATTTTACTAATGGCAGTCTCAATATCGTCGGCATCGTCGCTATCCTGGCTTAATCCTAAAATTGGCGAGGCTTTGTTAGGAAATGTTATGCGCATATCCTAAACCCGAAAGTATTACAAGATCTTCAAATTGATTCTTGAGTGCTTTAATTAAAGTGCTTCTCGTAAGAATATGCCCTCCATGTTGTGAATAAATATTGTTCATATCAACCGAGTTCCAAATTTTTCCTTTCTCTACCAATAGTTCTTTCACGGTTTCATTATACGGAATAATTATCTTCTTCATCGTTATTCTGGTCCAATCGTCGTTTGGCTAACAAAACAGCTTTTTTGCTCATAAATCTGCTAGGATAATCCAGATGATATCTGGCATCTACTGCATGTAAGTCTGCTACACAGCCCGCTAATCTTCATCTAACTTCAGAAGC